GTTCTGGTTGCTGTCAGTGCTGGATCTTTTGTTTATGGCTTACTTTGTCCTGTGGGCCAGAGAAATCCAGGCTGGGAGGGTCTTCCAGGCTTCTTCAGCAAGGGCTTTTTTCCATCAGTGGAGAATACCAGCGAGTGACACTTTCCTGGCCACCCTGCACTGGGCTGAGGTCTCTGGCAGTCCCACGAGCACTTGCATCCTCCCAGCCCTGTTCTTGAGTACTCGTGCTGGAGATCCAGCTCCTGGAGCACCTGGGAAGGCATTTTGGAGAAGTCTGCTTTGTGCTGAGCCAGCACACTGCTTCTCTCTCCCCTTTAAAGTCTCACTGCTTATAAGCCTGCTCAGAACCTGCAGCCAGCAGGCAGTGATGGTATTTCCCCCCCTGCCTCGGTTCTGTGGACAGATATTTGTGTAAGCTGCTGCTGAAAACAAGTTTGGGTTTTGGCAGAGTCAGTGTCCATGTGTGCTGCTGGATACAATAAGGGGTGATCTCTGTTTGCCTTGCTCACTACACCACAGACTCATGTGGAAATCGCTGTCACTGGTGAGCTTGGGTCCTGCCCGTCCCAGCAGGGTGGAACAAACACAGAAAATGGGAATGAACCCTGAAAACCAAGCCTTGGAAAGACCTGAGATGAGTCTGGGGCCAGTCCAGTCTTCTACCCCCCCCAGAAGCCTGTAGGCAGGTTAAGGAGGAAAAGAAGAAAGGCTGTTGTAGGGCTGGTGAGGGCTCCAGAGTAGTCTGGATCTGAGAACCTGTGTGTGCAGCTTGTTCACTCCCTGCTGTGGGAACCTGGGGTTTGTGGTGCTTGCAGGGATGTTCTGTGAAACCAAAAATTGAGAGGTATGGAGATAGGAAGGTGCTGACAGCCATCTAGGCACTCAGAGAGCAGTTTAGGCTGCAAATGGGAAGCTGTTTGTTCTTCTAGTTGAGTAAATTAAAATTCTGGGCACATTATTCCAAAGGAGACTTTTTACATTAAGAAAAAAAGAAAATGCTGACAGCTCTTTACTTGGAAGTGTCTGCAGAGCTGGAGCCAGCTCTGTGTCTGTGTGCTGTTCTCCCTAGGGCAGAGAAGAGTAATGACAGGAGTGTGCTTGGGATCTGTGCTGGAGAAAGGTGGGACCTGGAGCATCCCAGTGCTGCTTGGAAGAAATATGAGGTTATCATCTGGCAGCACCACGAGCTGGCCAGAGGTTTTTAAGCTGCTTCCTCCATCTTCTGTTGAGTTAAAGTAAAACCAGGCTTAATACCCCTGCTGAGGAGGATGAGGACAGAAGCAAGGCGTTTAGACAGCTCAGCCTTGGTGTCTTCTGACCTTTGGGAAGCTTTTCTGGCCAGTCTGAACTCGTGCCTGGAGCTGTGTGGTGACCTGGGGGGGAAGCTGGCAGCCAGTGTGCTGGCTCTGGCGTGCAGACGTCGTGGTCCTGACCTTCCACCCTGCTCCTGAGGACTCAGGGCTGCCTTTTTGCTGATGTTTTATCCTCATTCCTATTTAAAGAAGATCCAGGTGGCAGCTGCCAGCAAGCTTAAAAACCTAGAGCATATTTCTGGCAGAAGCAGTCTTCACAAACTAGGTCTTGGGTCTGTTTCTCTTGGCTAAAGGAACTTGTCAATCCAGAAATAAAATAAGTAGACTTTATTTAACTTGCTGGCAGTTTGTCTTGGAAAGGGATCATCAAACTTTTTGCTTTGTTATTTCCTGACTCTCGTTCATTCACACGTACGGCCTTGGAAGCTAAAAGACAAAACAAATGCAACAAAAATGGAAAGAAAGCTCAGAGTCTCTGTTTTCTTTTTCAAAATGCACTTAAAATGTGCTGTGCCCTGGCAGTGGGTGTTTCTTGGTTGAGTTCTTGAAAAGTATCATTGGTTTTGTGGAATTTTTTACTTCCAGAAATTCATTACTTCTTTCTTAGTTTTTTCCTGTCTAAGCCTAGAGAAACTGACTCTCTGCTCCTCCAAAACAAAAGCACCCTCTGATTCTCCCTGAGTGTGAAGGGGTTTGACTGGTCTAGAAGTGACACTGCAAAAACTGTGGACTCCAGTCATGAGCTCCAGACTTTCCTTGGAGGAGAGTGAAGATGTCTGTGCTCCACAAATACTCTACAACTATAAAAAACTCATTGTCACGTCCCTTGGAACAACCTTGAACCCAAATTTTGAAGGGCTTACTCTTTGTGTTGGGCTGTCAGATGTGAAAACCAACCCAGCAGGCACGACTTGCCTTGGGTACCCTCTTCCCTTCCTCTCTGGTGTGTTTGAGCCTTTCTGCAAAGGGTACAAATGCAGATGAACAGATGGTGGAGGGCAAGGGAGAGCAGAAAACACAAACTTTCCCTGGAGAGCAGCTGCCCAGGGGGGGAGAGCTGTGCAGAGGGGCTGAGGATATAGCTCAGGAATTTTGCTGATCAAGACTCTTAAAAATGATAAAAATGAGCAGACTCTGGGAGAGGTGCTTGTCCTGAAAGAGCTGTGAGGGAGAGAGGAACAAGGTTGAAGCACACCCTGCATGCTCAGAGGAGGGCAGCTCTTCCAGCAGGCTCAAGGTGTGACTTTGTGAGGAGGATTCAGGTGTCTCTGTCCTCAGAGGACCCGGCGTTGTTCATTCCCGTGTGCTCCACGTCTCAAGCTGAGGGTGATTGTTTCATACACTTGAGGTAATCTTGAAAAATTTCTTCCCTGAAGGGATTGTCAAGTCCTGGTCCAGGGCAGTGGTGGAGTCCCCACCCCTGGAGGGGTTTCCAAGCCGTGGAGATGTGGTGTGAGGGACACGAGGCAGTGGGGACCTGGCAGTGCTGGGGGACCAGCTGGACTCAATGACCTCAAAGGTCTCTTCCAACCAATCTCTTCCATGATTCTGTATCACCTACATGTTTTCTGTACAGGCTTCTCCCAGTTCATGATGGATTTTGGCAGCCACAAATATTGTAAAGCTGTTCTTCAGGAGCACTGAGGAGTTTGTGTTTCCCAGCTGGGGAGTGGATCTGCCATTTCAGTGAATAAAGGAGCAGCTCCACTGGTCCCTGGGGGTGCTTGATGGTCTCTTGCACCAGGACAGATGCTGGGCAGTTGGTCAGCTCCCTCCTTCGCTGTGCTGTGCTCCTAGGGAGGACTAGGCTGCCAGCTGAGACTTTCCTTTGCCAGCTGAGATCTCCTTTGCTTGCCCTGGTGACTTGCTGCAGGGGCAGCAGTTCCTGGAGGACACCCCTGGTTTGGAGAAGACTGGTTCTGCTGAGCTCGCTGCTGAATGATCTGTTACCCTGGAGCCAAGCTTGGGCTGGTTGGTTGTGCCCCTGGCTTAGTGTAACTGCTGCTAGGTTGCCTTTCATCCAGCTCCACGTTCCCAGCTGAGCTGCCTCCTCTCTCCCCATGAGATCATCTGTTCCTCCAGAGTTCCCATTTCAGGGCATCTTCAACTGCAGTCCTGCCAGGTAACCCTCAAGTGCCTGCTGTCCCTTGAAATGTCCTTGATGGCAAAGAAGAGAGTGACAAGAAGTCAGAAAAATAACAGGAGAGTTGCAGAAAAGCTGCTGCTGAGGAGAAGTCTCTGAATGCTGCCTGTGCCAAGAAGCAGCTCCTGATGTCTTGGCTTGTGTGCCTGCAGGGCCGTGCTCAGCCTGCTTTCCTTCTGTCTGTCCTCAGAAATACTGGGCTGCAAGAAAAGCTCACCTGTAGGAGCTGCTGCAGACCTGAGTGCTGGCCTGAGTCTGGTCATGGGCCTGAGTCCTGCTGGCTGGGCACAGGGTGAGGGTGGAGACTCTCCAAGGTGCTGCTCCATGGATGCAGGGTGTGGGAGGTGTGCAGGGGAGATGGATGTGGGCCTGTGGATGCTGTGGGTACCTCTGCTTCCAGAGGAAAGTACAAAGTGCTGGGGTCAGGTTTGGGCACCACAGGATAAGAAAGACCTCAAGAGGCTGGAGCAGGTCCAGAGAAGGGCAACGAAGCTGGGGAGGAGTCTGGGGAACATGGCTTGTGAGGAGTGGCTGAGGGACCTGGGGGTGTTGAGCCTGGAGGAGAGGAGGCTGAGGGGAGAACTTCTGGTTCTCTACAGCTCCCTGACAGGAACCTGGAGTGCAGGGGGGGTCAGGCTCTGCTCCCAGGTAACCAGCAATAGGATGAGAGGCAATGGGCTGAAGTTGCACCGGGGGAGGTTTTGATTGGATCTTAGGAAAACTTTATTTACTGAAAGAACAGTGAGGCACTGACCCAGGCTGCCCAGGGAGGTGCTGGAGTCACCAGCCCTGGAGGGGGTCAGAAAACACATGGATGTGGCACTTGGGGACACGGTTTAGTGGCCATGGGAGCGTTGGGTTGATGGTTGCAACTGATGATCTTGAGGCCTTTTCCAACCTTTGTTTTTGTATGAGGAAGGGCTGAGGGGAAGGCCCTACAGCAGGACCCTTGCTCTGGCCCTCTGAGGTTTGCCAGCGTGGCCCTGCTCTGCCAGCACAGCCACACAGCACCACAGTGGCACCAATGGGGGTCCTGGTCAGGAGACCTCAGCCCTGCAGAGGGGCTGCCCTCCTGTGGGCAGCACTCCACGTGCTCCCTGCCAGCCAAGGGGTGACAAGAGAGGCAGGTTCTGGGGAGGGAGAACGTGCTGAAGGTGGGTGTGCTGTGCTGCTGTGTCCTGTGCTGCTGCCAGCAGCTCTTCCTGAGGGGAACAGGAGAAGTTCCTGCCTCAGTGCCTTTGTACCCAATTTGTGACAGGAGGAGGGTGTGATGTGCTCCTAGATACAGTCTCCAAGGCAGATCCTCCTCCTTTAGAAATGGTTTGAGGGAATGTTCAAGCCAAAACAGGAGTAAAACCTTCCCTAGTAATCCAGGACTGAGTTCATACAGACTTGTCTCCATTTTTGCCCTGTCAAGCCCATGGGCAGTGCTGCTGGAGCAATGTCCTGTCCTTCAGCCTTTTGGGTTCTGCACGTGGAGGTGGTCTCCCTTTCAGTTCCCCTACTATGAAACGTCCTGATTGCTCCTGATTTTCTTCCACCAGGGAATTCTCTTGGTGTATGACATCACTAATCGCTGGTCCTTCGATGGGATAGACAGGTGGATAAAGGAAATAGATGAGGTAAGTTGGACAGAGGAACACAAGTTGTACCAGGGGAGCTTTAGGTTGGACCTGAGGAATAATTTATTCCCTGAAAAGGTTGTCAGGGCCTGGCTCAGGCTGCCCAGGGCACTGGTGGAGTCCTCACCCCTGGAGGGGTTTCCAAGCTGTGGAGATGTGGGGTGAGGGACACAGGGCAGTGGGGACCTGGCAGGGCTGGGGGATGGTTGAACTCCATGATCTCAAATCCTTCTAATGATTCTATGTAGAGCAAAACTCTGGGGAGGTATCACCCTGAAGTGCCACCTCCGACAGAGGGACAAGAGTATGGAGAGGGGACGATGGCAATCCACAAAGAAGCCAAGGCAGATTTCTCCACTTCTTTCCTCTTTCCAGCACGCCCCAGGCGTCCCTCGGATCCTGGTGGGCAACAGGCTCCACCTGGCCTTCAAGAGGCAGGTGCCCACGGAGCAGGCGCGGGCCTACGCGGAGAAGAACTGCATGACCTTCTTCGAGGTGAGCCCCCTCTGCAACTTCAACGTCATCGAGTCCTTCACGGAGCTCTCCCGCATCGTCCTCATGCGCCACGGCATGGAGAAGATCTGGAGACCCAACAGAGGTCAGTGGTGGGGGAGATGCTGCCGGGCTGCAAGGGGGGCACAGGGCTGACGGCCCCGCTGGGAGGTGTGTTTGGCAGTAGCTGTGGGATCTGGAAGCCCCTGACATGGGGAAGTGCCTCAGGTCAGACCCGCTGAAGCTGAACCACAAGCAGCTGCCTGTGCTGCAGCTCTGCTCGCTGTGGGTGAGGCTGAGGGCAGTTCAAGTTCACAGCTTGAAAGTAGTTCAGGCTGTGTGGGATGAACCCAAGTGTGAGCACCTCTGTCCTCACCCTTGTCTGAGCCTCCTGTTTTGGAGGGTCATGGAAGCTGAGCGAGCCCAAGGGGCTGCAGGGGACTATGTGAGAGCCCTGCTGGTGACCCGGGGCTGGTATCTCCAGGCACACGTGCTGCAGCAGGGCAGACCCCCAGCAGGCTCCACGTCACCTCTCAGCCTGTCGCTTGTGAAGCACAACAGTCTCAGGTCCCACGTTCCTGGCTGGAGGTGACAGTGTGTCCCAGCAGCAGGCTGAGCAGCAGATTCACACTCCTGCCTTCACAGGGATCCTGCTCCCGAGGGAGGGAGGGTCCCGTTTGCCAGCACCGGTCACCAAATTGCCTGCTTGGGCTCCTGCCCCCGGCGGGGCTGCCCTGCGGCGGCTCCAGCGTGGGGAGGGTGGTGAGCAGGATCCGGGCTGCGCTGGCAGAGCTCTCCTGAGGCTCTGCAGGGGCAGGGCTGCCGCAGGGAGCAGCAGCCGGGACTCTGGCAGGCTGGAGGGGAACGCGTGCCCTCGTGTGGCCGCTCGCTGGGACATCTCCTCCAGAGAGACCTTCCAAAGCAGGTTCACGCCATGTGCACCGAGCCAAGAGCCTCGGAAGCCTGCAAGGGCAGAGTCGTCTTCTGGCTCGGTGGGATGTGTGTTGCTGCAGGCACTCTGCAGAGAGGCAGTGGTGGGTCCCAGCTGAGGCTGTCCTGCTTTGGGGCTCGCTGCCCCGCTGCCTCCTTCCCTGGGCATGTCCTTCTGGGTGCCACGGTGCAGAGAGAGGAGGTGGTGATGCCTCAGCCCTTTGTTGATGCCAGAGCTGGTCTCGCAGAGCACTAACCTCCGAGTCAGAGCTTACCTGGGGTTTCCTAAGCTTTTGTCCTAACTAATCCTCTCCCCGTTCAAGGCTCCTACACAGTTATTTTAAGTTTCTCTCCCCGGAGGAGCTGGAATTGCGCAGCCTGAGGAGTGGCTGTGGGGAGAAGGCAGCCCTGGAGATGCCCTGGCCCTTGACTGTCCCTTCTTTCCTCCCCCCAGTGTTCAGCCTGCAGGACCTGTGCTGCCGAGCCATCGTCTCCTGCACCCCGGTGCACCTCATCGACAAGCTGCCCTTGCCCGTCACCATCAAGAGCCACCTGAAGTCCTTCTCCATGGCCAACGGGATGAACGCGGTGATGATGC